AATCTGAGTTTTGTCAGCGCCGCTTGCGAGCCACCCCCCTTAGGTCTCTCGCTGCTTTCGTCCTTTGGATACGGTATTTTGCCATGCTTGAGGTGGAAATATCGTATACCGCATCGATGGCTGGCGAGCTTGAAAAAATTCTCAGAGACACGTTTGCGAAAGCGTCGAAGTGGCTCAAGCGTGGCTGCTCGCTAAGACCCGAGCCGCGCGACCGTGACATTCAGGTTGAAAGCACTTGTACATGTCGTCTCAGCAAAGCATTCAAAGCTGTCAGGTCGCAAGTGCGAGCAATCATTATGCACGGTGCATCAAAGTAATTGTACAGGTAGTTATGCTATCCTCTCGGTAAAGATTGAGATTTAACTAAAGTGAGAATATGCATGCAAAGCGTTTGAGCAAGAACACTGCTATGGAGAAGCGTAAACCTACACTGAGCGTGATCGAACATGTGTCTGGCCAATGTAAATGGACGTACAGGCTCTCCCAATCGGGAACAGGCAGAACTTTTGGCTAGATTTGCGCGTTCTCTGCGCTAGGGGTTTGCGGTGCATACGAGCCCTGTCTGATAGAGCGAAGAAATTAAGGAGAAAGCAGACAAGTTAGCGGCAGACGTGAGGCAGAACTCTTGCGACCGGACTCTCGCCATGCCAATTTGGCCTGACTGAAATTGGGACAAACTCTATCGTTCATTCTCTAACTAGAAGGCACGAGTATGCTTTGCGTATGACTAGCGAATCTATGAGGTGCGTTTTAATGCGTTTCGGTGAATTACTACAGCGATTCCTGAAAGAACATGAATGATAGTTGTTCTAGTATGGAACAGTTTCCAAAACTAACGCTCCAGCTCAAATAGCGCGTGTGAAAATGGATTCTGGAGCGCGCTTCTGCTCAGGTAATCGCCGGGAGCAGGCGGCCACGCGAGCGAGCGGGCGCTGGAAAAATAGCTCGCTGACTTCTTGCGGTCCGCTTGCAAAAATTTGGAAGAATGTTGGTTCAATTTCAGAGGAATGGGCGAAAAACAATTGCGGCTTTTTATAGATTAGTTGACGCAGTCGCATTTTCGCGGACTTTCCGCGAGAATATGCAAGATTATTGAGGGCCGCATGGTATTTTGTGAAGGACGCACAGCCCGTAGGTACTTTTCGCTCAAAGAAAGCATCCCAAACTCGGGTAATTAAGCCATCGAGGATAACTCTTTTATGTAGAGTATTACCGTGGCTCGGCGTACTCCCGAAACTGCTTAACAAGAGTCAGAGCTTTGCTGAAAATTTGCCTAGCGCTCGGTGAGCGAATTTATTTGACGACCGCTCGCAGAAAATTATGTATTCTGCCCGCTGGCAGAACATGCGACGGTAGAGGAGGTACCGCTCGGTGAAGGTTTGGCCACGCACCAAAATTCTGTTCACCGCCTGCAAAAAAGCGCGAGTTTGCAGACCGCTTGCCCTTGGCGGTTGTCTGAGTGGGCGCTTTTTTAGACTATGAGCAAAGTTTGGTCGCTGCATAAAAGCCGCCGACTTTACCTGCTGTAGTAAGGGATTCCTGTGCATTACTCTTACATTTATATCAGACCGCTTCTGCAAGGGATGAGGACTATTTGTCGTCGAAAAGGTTGTTCACACGCAGACGTCTTGTTCACACGCAGACGTCTACAACGAATCACGCAGCTCACACATTACTATCTTATATATAAAGCTGAATGTCTGTTTGTCTGTCCGTCTGTCTGTATGTGTATATACAGTGACCGCCAAAAAGTTGCGGACAAGCCTCCCTCCCTTTTTCATCGCTCTTTTTCAGGGTGAAAACAAGGATGAAAAAGTGTAATAATTGCTTGAGGTGATAGAGCTCTTCAAGCTCTCTAAGATCTACAATCTACACTTTGAGTTTTTTGAGAAACATGTGTTCTAAAAATTTCAAGAATCTTTCTCTAAGGAAAGGCCGAAAATGGCCGCTCACAATGTCGCGGACAATAATTCTTCGAACGCAAAAATTTTCTTTTGAGTCCTATTTTAAAGCGGAAATACAAGTTATCCAGGCGGGGGTGAACATACTAATATACAGAGCTCGTCAAGAACTACACACTGGTTATGGTTGCTTCCTCAGAAAAAGCAGGCTTGAGTTTTATTTTAGTTTTTCAAAAAACAACTTCTAATTTCCTTTCCTTGAGCCAAATTTTTTCGCATGAGAACCTATTCAAGACATTCCAACAAAGCTATTCGGACAAAATGGATGCTCTTTGCCGTCCTCTATGCATCGGACGTGTACTGATGAGTTTCTTTGCTGAAAATGGCTCTTGACAGTGCGTGCACATGACCCCACCTGCACCTCACCACTGACTTGTACCGCTTGCAGGCTTGTAACTCGGCCTGCAGTCAATATTTGAGCCTGCAATTAGGCTCATTCGAAAGAACGAGACTTCCTCTACACGAGATGTGCGGATATGTTCACTTTCAGCAATCGCAGAAAAATGGCGGATGGGGTAAAAAAGTGCAGCCTTTGAGGTGATTGGAGTGAAAGCTCTTATGAACACCAGAACAGTCTTAGAGCTTCGAAATGGATCTATTAGAAGAAAATTGACAGTTTTAAACTTCCGGAATGGAACTAGTAGCGAAAGGAGCTCTCTTCAACTTTAGCTGAAAAGTGCTTAGACTACAACTGAAGCTGCCCTCTACCACCCCATCTGCCATTTTTCTGGGATTGCTCAAAGTGAACTTATCTGCATACTATCGTGTAGAGGAAGTCTCGTTCTTTCGAATGAGCCTAATTGCAGGCTCAAATATTGACTGCAGGCCGAGTTACAAGCCTGCAAAGCGGTACAAGTCAGTGGTGAGGTGCAGGTGGGGTCATGTGCACGCACTGTCAAGAGCCATTTTCAGCAAAGAATCTCACCAGCACACGTCCGATGCATAAAAAATGGCAAAGAGCATCCATTTTGTCCGAATAGCTTTGTTGGAATATCTTGAATAGGTTCTCATGCGAAAAAATTTGGCTTAAAGAAAGGAAATTAAAAGTTGTTTTTTGAAAAACTAAAATAAAACTCAAGCCTGCTTCATAACCAGTGTGTAGTTCTTGACGAGCTCTGTATATTAGCATGCTTACCCCCGCCTGGATAACTTGTATTTCCGCTTTAAAATAGGACTCAAAAGAAAATTTTTGCGTTCGAAGAATTATTGTCCGCGACATTGTGACGCGGCCATTTTCGGACTTTCCTTAGAGAAAGATTCTTAAAATTTTTAGAGCACATGTTTCTCAAAAAACTCAAAGTGTAGATTGTAGATCTTAGAGAGCTTGAAGAGCTCTATCACCTCAAGCAATTATTACACTTTTTCATCCTTCTTTTCACACTGAAAAAGAGCGATGAAAAAGGGAGGGAGGCTTGTCCGCAACTTTTTGGCGGTCACTCTATGTGTGTATGTATGTTCCGAATAGAAAATTCCATTTCTGAACCGGTCCGGACCAAACTTGGCACACATACACTTCGAGGCCGGGCGGGCGTCATAGGCTACTTTTCGTCATCGATCGATATCGATTTTATCGATTTTTATCGATTTTTTTTGCAGGGGTTACGAGGCTGGGAGTTGGCACAAGGGGGGGGGGAGGGGTTAGTGAGTATGGGGATTCCGAATACAATACTAGTTTTCAGAATTATCGATTACTTTTATCGATTTTATCGATTTTTTGTAAAGCTTGACCTTCGAGGCTGGGAGTTTGCACGGGGAGGTAATCGAGCATGCTGATTACGGACACAATATTAGGATGGCGCTATTCGGCTATCAGGCCTCAAAATTTTTTTGTCGTAAAGCTTGCTCAAGCTTCGTGTACAGGGGTTATCTTACGTGCTGAAAACAGATATCACACTTTCTCCGCAGAACTTCTCCCCGTGTGGTTACGGTAGGTGTACGGTAGGAAGTCAAAATCATGAATTCGGCTGGAGTTTGGTCCAGAGAACTTATTTATTCGACATGCTGATTACGATTTTCATACTCTCTCTGCCTAGGGACCTTTTCGTAGAGTTATGGTGGTATACGGGATGGGGTCGAACGTCCAGGGTGGTCATTCAGCGCGCTGAACATGAATATCATGCTGATTTCGCAGGATAGTGCATTTTCTTGGGTTACGGTGGGTGTAGATGGTCGAAGTTCCAGATTTGCTCAAAACCTTAGTAACGGTTCACAAGCATACTTCTCTTTCTTCTAGGGAAAGATGTAATTTTTCCCTGCCTAGAAAATACTGCGAAAATATCGGGTTACGATAACATGCCAAGTCTACGCTACTACAGCCCGTGTCGACTCGTACTCTCTTTTCCACTAGCCAAATCGCGAAATCAGAGAATTGCGCCGCATTGGCGCGCATTCAAAACTCGGCTCATCGATCGAGGTCGCCGCGCTAAATTTCTGCGGAGCAACGGGTAACTGGGAGGAGGCGACAAGAATGTATATATTCGATAGCTATGCCTCAAAATTTACACTATAGTGATTTGAGCCTGAGTCTTCTCTAGTCTGAGTTATTGAAAGCAAAAAATGGAACAAACGAGATTTTGGCTTGCCCTTAATTCTTTAATTTGGAGGTTATTTGAAGTAAGATTTCCAAAATAAGCAAAGAAGTGGTACTTCTTTGTTAAGTAGAAAGAAGTAGTTAGCTCACCTTTGAAACAAAGTTATCATGATCGAAAACATCGATCATTGACCATCTCACTTGAGTGGCCTGGCCCGCTATTTGGGATCATCAGAACTCGCTGAAATTTGGCCCACAAAGAGTATTTGAATTGCTAATTACGAAAATGATCGCTTATGCTTTTGGGTCTGTTGGATCCATAACGACGGTGATGAAGACGATAAGTATAGTCGTTTATTCGGAATAGCAGATTGAGAGAAAAGAATGTTACTAAATGAAAACTGAATCATTTATACCCAAAAAGGAGATATCAAAACTATCATCATGAAGGTCGTATCTTCTTCATTCTCTTCAACACTTTCTTTGTGCGGTGCACAACACCTCCCCTTTCAAGTATAATGGTAAGTAGCGGCATGTGGGTTTACTATGAGACGACTTGGTGGACGTCGGGTTCGAGTGGGGCGAGATATAGCTGAAAGTGTCGCGGTGGTTTCTCCCTGATCCAGTTGTGCCTGCGGAGATGTTGCTGGTTTTGAGGGAATAATCGTGTCAGAACTATCATTTGTGGCTTCAGCTGTTGAGTCCATAGATGCACGTGGTTTGATCTGGTCAGCGTGCCGGATCCAGATTCCAGGATCAACTTTTACTTCGTATGTGACATCGCCAATTTGCTTGCAAATTATTCCAGGAATCCAGGCAGTTTTATTAACTGTTCGGTAGTCCTTCACATAGACGAGTTGACCTGGAGTAAAGACTCTAGCAGTGGTTCCATGGTGACGATTATACTGTTCCTCCATTTTTTTATCTCGTGCACCACGTTCCTCGTTAGCCGGGTGTAGTAATTCCAGAGTTGTGCGAATTCCACGTCCGATGAACATTTCGGCCGGAGAATGGCCATTCAGGTTCGGACTTGGCGAGCTGCGATAGTGCATTAGGAAGGTTTGTAGCGCATCGGCTGGCGTCTCCTCCCTCTGTAGTTTGGTAAGCGCGCGTTTGAAGGTGTCAACGAATCTTTCGACTTGTCCATTTGACTGCGGATGAAAAGGTGGTGTTCGAACGTGTTTGATTTCTCGGGAGTCACAAAATGCGTGGAAATCGAATGATGTAAATTGAGAACCGTTGTCGGACACAAGTACTTCTGGATTTCCATAACGACTGAACAGTGTCTTGAGTTGGTGGATCGTTCCACCAGTCGTAGTGTTGGGCATCTCGATGATTTCTGGCCATTTTGAGAAAGCGTCCACTACAACGATGTAAGTGTGTCCATTCACTGGTCCAGCGAAGTCGACGTGAATGCGACTCCACGGTTTAGTTGCAGCTTCCCAGGAATGTAAGTCCGTCTTGATTGGGTCTTTTGAAGCAGCAGCACAACTATCGCAGGAGCGGACGAGGAGTTCGATATCTCGGCCGATGTTTGGCCAATAGACGTGACTGCGGGCAAGCATCTTCATACGAACAACTCCAGGATGTGCAGTGTGCAAGCTGTCCAGTACTCTTCGTTGGAGCTTGTTCGGAATGATTAGGCGGTTTCCCATAAGTAGACAGTCATCTGCGATTGATAGTAGGTCTCTTCGGTTGTAGAATGGCCATTCCTGAGCGTCGCGGGAAATTTTCGGCCAGTGTGTTAATACAAATGACTTAATTTTCTGAAGTAACGGATCTTCTTTTGTTTCGGCAGCTACTTCGTGAATAGTAAGCGGTAACTGACGGCTGTGATCCAGCAAGTCAATTCGCATTTCGGCGTCCAGCCCTGCAATGACAACGTCTTCGTGTTCTTTTGGATGGGCTGCAATCAGTCGGGAGAGAGCATCCGCTTGTCCAAAATCCACAGTATTGCGGTACTGGATATCAAAGTCGTATCCCAAAAGGAGAGTGGCCCATCTTTGCAGTCGATTTGCAGTGTACACCGGTACTCCGTTCTTGTTTCCAAAGATGGCTAGAAGAGGTTTGTGGTCAGTCAAAAGTATGAAGTGACGGCCATGTATGTAGCGGTGAAATTTTGTGACAGCAAAGATTAGTCCAAGAGCCTCTTTTTCAATTTGACTATAGTTCTTCTGTGATGTGTTGAGAGTACGACTGGCATGACAGATGGCCTTTTCGGAACCGTCTGGAAAACGATGCAAGATGACTGCTCCAATGCCGTAATTGGACGCATCGGCGGCTACTATGATCGGTAAGGATGGATTGTAGTGCGTTAGCAATAAATCGGATGCAAGAATAGCTTTTGCTCGTTCAAATGACTTTTGACACTCCTCAGTCCACTTAAATTCGGTATTCTTCTGAAGTAAATTATCGAGAGGAGCCCGAATAGTTCTCATCTCCGAGACAAATGCTCCGTAATAGTTAACCATGCCGAGAAATGAACGCACCTGCGATAAGTCTTGGGGGACAGGCATCGATTCAATCGCACGAATTTTCTCTTTATCCGGTCGGCGTCCGTTTTCATCAACGACCATTCCAAGATATTTTATTTTTCGTTGTAGAAAGGCGCATTTCTCGATTCTGAGTCGAAATCCATAATCCTTGACGCGGTGTAGAGCAGCAGTGAGGTGTTTGGTGTGTTCATGAATTGACGATCCCGTGATAACTATGTCATCCATGTATGCAGCAACTCCTGCTATATCTGCGATCATAGTGTCCATCAGCTGCTGGAAAATGCCGGGAGCTGTCTTGACTCCAAAAGGTAATCGGTTGTAATGGAAGAGTCCCTTATGAGTGTTGATGACAAGTAGTCGCTTGGCATCGTCGTCAATTTCCACTTGTAAGTACGCTTCGCTCAAGTCGAGCGTAGTAAAGAAACGTCCACCATTCAATTTAGTGAAGACAACTTCGGGGGTAGGAAGCGGGTACTTGTGTGGTTCTAACGCGTCGTTCAGCCCAGTTGAAAAGTCGGCGCAAATACGAAGTTTTCCATTAGATTTCTTAACGCAGACGATAGGTGCAGCCCATTCGGAATGAGTAATTGGAGAAAGAACTCCAATGTTTACTTGTCGTTCCAGTTCGGTGGTGACAGCAGGAAGTGCTGCATACGGTAGTGGTCGGGCTTTGCGAAATGTCTTATTTGTATCTTCTTTGAGTGAGGGACGCCTTCATTTTCGTGCAATGTCCTAAGCTGAGTTGAAACACTTCCGCGAACTTTTCCTGCAGCATCGTTGTCAGTTGAGTCCTCTCCTTGTCAAGTGTATCTTCCGTGGATTCCACTGTATTGGCATCGTAACGGCCGATGATCATATTGTAGAGAGCACGGTCGCTTCGAATCCAGTTCCATCCCGAGTAGAGGGGTCCATCAACGACATATGCTGTGCCTTTTACAGTGATGCCATTTAGCACGTATTCACATGTGCATTGTCCATGGCATTTGATGCTGGTCCCATTGGCAGCAGTCAGATTATGTTTGGGTTCTTCTAGTTTCGGTCGGCCAATCTTGATCCATGTGTCGCGATCGATAAGAGTGACTTCGGCTCCACAATCTAGTCACATCTTGATATTCATACCGTTGATTTTCACGTTGCGGTAGGCTTTAGTCTCCTTAGGTGGTGAGGTGGCGACGTGACAGACGTCCTTGGCGTCATCGACAAACAGTTTACGCAGACAATATTTTTCTAGATGTCCGCGTTTCTTGCAATAGTTGCATTCATGTATCGGCTTCTCGCATCCTCTGGTCCTGTGGGTCCTTGCTCCGCAGTTCATACAAAGTAAATCTGCTTTGGGCTTCTGATCAGTGGACGATTTCCGCTTTTCGCCTCGCTGCATCGCGTTGACTTGCGGATTTTCATCCCTCTGAATTGCATGGACCTGTGGTACCTTGGCTTTGCCGATCATTTCAATGTGAGACTGCAATTCCGAGTAGTCGTTGCACTCTTCCAGTAGATCCATCAGAGTTGTGTCCGGTTCGGCCTTCATTTTCTTCAGTACATGGGTTCGTAGTGCAACACAATCGTCATCTTCTAGAGCGCTTACGAAAATTAAGCACTTGAACTGCTCACCAGTCATAGCAGCAAATTCTGCGTTTTCCACGTTCCGGTTGACTTCTGCGACGAAGTCCGATAATGGCATCGATGAATGGTATTTCATCCTCATACACTCGTATCGGCGTGTGAAAACTGACTTACGGCATCCAAATAGCTTCAATAAAGTCGCTATTGTCGTTTGTAAGTCCATGTCTTCGATCTTCTTAGGAGCGATTGTGTTTGCGAGACGGGCATGTGTCTTCTGGTCGAGCCGGGATACTATCAGCCTGGCTTTTGCGTTGTCATCCAGTGCGGCTCCGTCGTTCTTGATTATATTCTCATAGCGTTGCAGCCATACGTCAAACGTGCATCCATTCTCAGGGTCATGGTTGAATTCTGGTAGACGAGTGGCAAGTGCGTTCATCACGTAATCTTCGCTGGATCCTTGCTTCTTCTTCACTTCTTTCCACAGCTCCATGATTTGCAGCATCAGGAACTGGGTGGGGTCCATGTTGGGGTTCGGGTTCGGGATCGGGTTCGGGGTCTGATCGCCACTTGTTGGATCCATAACCACGGTGATGAAGACGATAAGTGTTGTCGTTTATTCGGAATAGCAGATTGAGAGAAAAGAATGTTACTAAATGAAAACTGAATCATTTATACCCAAAAAGGAGATATTAAAATTATCATCATGAAGGTCGTATCTTCTTCATTCTCTTCAACACTTTCTTTGTGCGGTGCACAACAGGGTCTTTTCATTATACTCACTGACGTATACGATGGTAAGCCAACGTATTAATGTGCTACTATTTTGCATAGTGGGCCTATCTGACAACGTTAACGGATATCATGTTATCGCTAACATCAGTATCATCTTATATATAAAGCTGAATGTCTGTTTGTATGTCTGTCTGTCTGTATGTCTGTACGTATGTTCCGAATAGAAAATTCCATTCCTGAACCGATCCGGACCAAACTTGGCACACATACACGGGCCCCGGCGGGTGTCATAGGCTACTTTTCGTCATCGATTGATATCGATTTTATCGATTTTTATCGATTTTTTTGCTGAGTTCACCTACGGGGCTGGGAGTTGGCACAGGGGGGTAATCGAGCATGGGGATTCCGAATACAATATTGGTTTTCAGGATTATCGATTACTTTCATCGATTTTATCGATTTTTTTGCAAAGTTTGAGCTACGGGGCTGGGAGTTGGCACAGGGGGGTAATCGAGCATGGGGATTCCGAATACAATATTGGTTTTCAGGATTATCGATTACTTTTATCGATTTTATCGATTTTTTTGCAAAGTTTGAGCTACGGGGCTGGGAGTTCGCACAGGGGGGTAATCGAGCATGCTGATCATCCCCAAGGGGGGTGATCAGCATGTTCGATTACACCCCTGTGCCAAATTCCAGCCCCCTAGCTCAAATTTTCAAAAAATCGATAAAATGGATAAAAGTAATGGACGATCCTGAAAACTAATATTGTGTTCGTAATCAGCATGCTCGATTACCCCCCCCTGTGCAAAATCCCAGCCTCGCATGTCAAAATTTACAAAAAATCGATAAAATCAATAAAAGTAATCGATAATTCTGAAAACTAATATTGTATTCGGAATCCCCATGCTCACTTCCCCCCCTGTGCCAACTCCTAGCCCTGTAGGTGAACTCTGCAAAGAAAACGATTAAAATCGGTAAAATCGACATCGATCGATAACGAAAAGTGGACTGTGACACCCGCCGGGGCCCGAAGTGTATGTGTGCCAAGTTTGGTCCGGATACGGCGGAGCCGGGTAAGCCAGCTAGTAACTTATAATAACGGGCTAAGGAAGGAAGGGTTGTTTACGTTTGTGTGTGTGTGTGTGTGTGTGTGTGTGTGTGTGTGTGTGTGTGTGTGTGTGTGTGTGTGTGTGTGTGTGTGTGTGTGTGTGTGTGTGTGTGTGTGTGTGTGTGTGTGTGTGTGTGTGTGTGTGTGTGTGTGTGTGTGTGTGTGTGTGTGTGTGTGTGTGTGTGTGTGTGTGTGTGTGTGTGTGTGTGTGTGTGTGTGTGTGTGTGTGTGTGTGTGTGTGTGTGTGTGTGTGTGTGTGTGTGTGTGTGTGTGTGTGTGTGTGTGTGTGTGTGTGTGTGTGTGTGTGTGTGTGTGTGTGTGTGTGTGTGTGTGTGTGAATTTCTGTCTGTCACGAAATTCGTAGAGCGAGTTCTAGCAGAGGTCTTGAGCTAGAATTTTGGTAGTAGCACCCCATCAGCAGGTAAGTAAAATGTGCAAAAGCACAAGCCGATCCGATAATTGGAACCTGTGAAATTGTGCGCCAAACGGATCCACGCGACATTTCGCGCGCCAAAATGGGCCTGTAATTGGACTTCTTTCAAAGTCATGGTTTCGTTTAGCAAGTAAATCCCCAAACCATGGACCCTAGCCCGAACAGTGAGCAAAAAGTTTACTTTCGCGCAAGATCGGCGCCAAAAAGGAATAATTGCATAGATGATCGATTTGTCAAGGTTTTACCTGGGAATGCGGGACAATTTTTGCTCAGAGATGTAACTCACGGTTGCCATCATCTTTACGGCGAGTATCAAGTCATTATAACCCCAATAACTGATTCAAAATCGCATTTAATTTTTTTGAAGAATACTTTCTTTCCCTTAAAGTCACCGATCTTACATGAAAAAGCTTTTGAAATGAGTAGTTGTTTACATTTCATTCGTGATGATCGGCATCGCGAGGTAAGTTTCAAAGCCATCATTTTGCGACTACCAGGTTGGTATGTGGATAGTGCAGCCAGTGCGAGCCTCTGCGAAGCAGAGGTGACGCACTGGTCATCTTTATAACAAAATTGAAACACCTGCGGGAGACACCTTAATGTCCCGAACGCGTTCAGAAACTGCGGCCTACGCTCTTATAAAAGAACCAGTGCGTCACCTCTGCTTCGCAGAGGCTCGCACTGGTTTTACTATCTAGGCCCTACTCATTCTCGCATAATGATGGCATTGAAACTCACCGAGCAATGCCTACTATCATGAACAAAATGTAAACAACTACTCATTCCGAAAGCTTTTTCATGTGAAATCGGTGATTTCGCGTGAATGAAAATTTTTTGCAGGAGAACAAAGCAAGATTTTGTACGTTTTTGATTTTTCCACAGTCTTGACAGTCGCCATAAGAACAGTAGTCACCATAAGCTACATTTAGGTGCAAAAATCTCATCAAATGCTCTGGTAAAAGCTTGGCAAAATGACCATTTACGCAACCAATACTTTTTGGCGCCGTTTTTGTAAAGTAGTGGACTTTTGATCAATTTTTTGGGCTAAGTTCATGGTTTGCACATTTACTTGCCATAAACATCCACGAGCCTGCAAAAAGTGGAATTACGGACCCAATTTTGGGGACGAAAGGCCAGGTGGGTCCGATTGACGCGCATTTTTTGAGGGATCCGCTAAACGGATCCGCTCAAGCTTTGATATAGTGGACTCTCATGTTGGTAGCATGCGCTGTGCAAAATTTGGGCTTAAGATGTTGGCTGGCAACCGTTCCACGAATTTCGTGACAGACAGACACACACACACACAAAAACACGCAAACATCCTTAGCCCGTTATTATAAGTTATGATCCTTGCATCTTTTATGTCTTTCCTCACGCTTCTCTCTTCGCTTACCTTGTGTCACTGATCTCTTTGGGTCTCATTTCTCATGCCTGCTATTCTGCTCGCAAAGCCTATTCAAACGTCATAAAATTCATTGGCAAATACCACATAATCTTCTTGAGCAAGCTTCGCAATGGGATTGAAATGAAATGCACGAAAAGCAGCCAATGACATTCAGGAGCTCTACATGCGACACAAGATTACAAGACAAATACAGCAAAAACAAAGTGTAAACAATGTAAAAGTGTAAACATCAAGCTTCCCCAGTCTCTTCAACTTCATCTTCAACACATTCTCAATCACTACTTCCTTAGTGATACTGCTGCCTTCGATGCCTTCGATTACGATACGCTTTCCTGAAATCAAAAGTTAATACCAGTGATCATATAAAACAATGAATCACCGTTGATGGAAGAAGCGACGCTGTTTTAGGGTCAAAATGGTAAGTACGGATGTCTGCGCTGCAAAAGTACAATTCAAAAATATCGCTATAGTGTGAAAAAAACTCACAGTGCTCTCCCTATTGCTATTCTTGCATGACCGCTGCAAACCAGTCTTGCCTGCGAGAGTTCGTTAAAAAATTTCTCCCGAGCGTCATCCTCTTCTGCTAAGGACACCACACCTAAATTCTGTACACATGAAAGTCCTCCGAGAATATACATACAGCTTGGATTTTGTTTATGTTCATTTGGAGTCAGCAGAAGTTCGTCGCGGTATAGGCCCAAAAGAGGCTACATAAACATGACATCTTGCCCACCTCAAAAAAAAAACCAGCATCCAAGGTGAGCATGAACTTAACACTTCGGCGATGTGTCCACCGCACAACCCATTTGCAAAAAAACCTGCACCTACCTAGAGTGCAGCAATAATGATAAGCCTTGCTTACATGTAACAGAAGAAATGAAAGCGAAAGGGTGAGAGCTTCCTTGGAAGTTGAGTTGAAAATGAAACTAACGCAAGAGAAATTGTTGTGATAAAGCCCAAAATTTCGGCAGAAATACAGAATAAACTCAGCAATTTGCAGTTGTACTCGTTCAAACATGCGCGCGCTTCGCCACAAAATCGCACCAAAATCGGGACAAAGCTAAAATGATGACTCCCGCCAGTGCATCGGATTTTGGTGCGACCTAATTGGTGAGTGCGGAAGTCAATGGCGAGTGCCTGAAAAAGTGAATTCAGCCTAATTGGTCTTCTCTAATCTGAGCTATTGAAAGCAAAAAATGGAATAGGAGATTTTGGCTTGCTCTCAATTCCTTAATTTGGAGGTTATTTGAAGTAAGGCAAGCGCTATACCCTTAAGGAGTATAGCATGGCGACGATCGATACGTACCAAATACGTGTAAAACGGGCGATTTTTGTCGCCGATATTCGCGATCGCCAATCGCTACGACTGGCGATCGCCCGTCGCCAGTATTAGCGACCGGCGATCGCCAATCGCCAATGTTGGCGACTCCACGTTGGATGCGTATCGATTGGACATGTGGTAACTTGTCAGCGATCAATACTTATGAAAGACACAGTCGCCGATACTGGCAACTGGCGATCGCTAGTTTTGGCGACTACACGTCGGATAAGTATTGATTGGACATGTAAACTCATGCCAGCAATCGATAGCTATCTAATGTGCAGTCGCCAACTTTAGCGATTGGCGATCGCCAGTCGCCATGCTATACTCCTCAGCGCCTGCCTAAGATCTTCAAAGCAAGCAAAAAAGTGGTAGTTCTTTGTATCAAGTAAAGAAAGAGGTGATTAACTTTGACTCACCTTTGCTCACCTTTGAAACACAGTTATGTGATCGAAAACATCGATCATTGACCAATTCACTTGTGTAGCTATTTGGAAGCCTCAGAATTCGCTCACTTGGCCCACAAGGGGTATCGCGGATCGCGATCAAGAGGAACCAGTGGCCGTATTCATCATTGC